TTGATAAAAATATTAACACTGTGTGTGTGTGTTGTGTCATTTTTGTATTACTGTTTTATGCTATTAATATGAATTGGGCATGTAATCAGAATGTGAATATTAAACGTTTTGCAATGTCACTGTAGTAAGTAAATGTTTTTCATCTTATCATTCACAGAAAATGCTCTGAAACACAATGCATAATGCATTAACAGAGCTACTGGGATATGCAGGAAAATTGTGGGCCACTTCTCCCATAGCTAAGAGTGGCCAAAGTGGGTTGTCCAAGGTTTTCTCTACAGACCACAAAGTGCGACACCTACTTCCTTCATGGCAGGACCTGGAGGTCTTGGAATCTGTAAACAAGGCACGAAGCCCACTCCAGGACTTCACGGATGCCTTATCTTCTGAACACCTCAGTGCTGGCTGAAGACGAAGCGGACACTGACCTGACCAAATCACTGAAATCAAAAATTCTTAGCTACCTCAACAACAAACATGAAGGCACGCAGGACTTGCGTAACTTGACCACTTTCCTAGACCCAAGGTTCCAAACACAATACATCTCTGCAGAATTGACCCAGACCTTAAAGGAACAAGTCATCTCTGAGTTGATAGTGAGTGAAACCACAGAGTTTACTTAACTGGTAAGAATTCCATGTAACAAATTACTAAAACTTGCATTTTTTATTTGTTTCAGGAAAATCACCAGCAGCAGACTGTAGCCCAAAGCACTGCAGCGATGGAGAATGATAGCCTGGATGTGGAAAGTCCACCTGCTGCTAAAGGCAAGAAGAAAACTCTGGCCAGTTTCTTCAAGGAAACCGCATGTACAGCACCAAAAGCTTCATTGTCAACCACATTTGATCCCATGGCACAGTTTAGAGAAGCAGTGGTTGCTGAACTCAGCGCTTACATTTACATGCCATGTGTAGACCCATAGAGAAGATCCACTGAAATGGTGGTAGTTCTACAAAGTAAACTTCCCTAGGCTATGCAGACTAGCACAGAAATATCTGGGGATATTTCATACAAGCAACAAGCTCTGCATCAGAGAGAGCTTTTAGTACTAGTGGATGCCTTATCTTCTGAACACCTCAGTGCTGGCTGAAGACGAAGCGGACACTGACCTGACCAAATCACTGAAATCAAAAATTCTTAGCTACCTCAACAACAAACATGAAGGCACGCAGGACTTGCGTAACTTGACCACTTTCCTAGACCCAAGGTTCCAAACACAATACATCTCTGCAGAATTGACCCAGACCTTAAAGGAACAAGTCATCTCTGAGTTGATAGTGAGTGAAACCACAGAGTTTACTTAACTGGTAAGAATTCCATGTAACAAATTACTAAAACTTGCATTTTTTATTTGTTTCAGGAAAATCACCAGCAGCAGACTGTAGCCCAAAGCACTGCAGCGATGGAGAATGATAGCCTGGATGTGGAAAGTCCACCTGCTGCTAAAGGCAAGAAGAAAACTCTGGCCAGTTTCTTCAAGGAAACCGCATGTACAGCACCAAAAGCTTCATTGTCAACCACATTTGATCCCATGGCACAGTTTAGAGAAGCAGTGGTTGCTGAACTCAGCGCTTACATTTACATGCCATGTGTAGACCCATAGAGAAGATCCACTGAAATGGTGGTAGTTCTACAAAGTAAACTTCCCTAGGCTATGCAGACTAGCACAGAAATATCTGGGGATATTTCATACAAGCAACAAGCTCTGCATCAGAGAGAGCTTTTAGTACTAGTGGTAATGTTGTATTGAATCATCGCTCCTGTCTGAAACCAGAGAAAGTGGATATGCTTGTTTTTTTTGGCAAAGAACCTCTGATGTGATAAGTAGAACTATTTAGAAAGAGGATTTGGGAGTACCAGTTGGTCATAAAAAAAATAAAAAAAAAGATTTAGTAGTTTGAGTTTGATTGAGTGAACCACAAATTTATATCCAGTTTCCTTTTCAAAAGAGTTTATACAGAGTATATGTTACATCCTGCATAAATGTCCCTGTTTGTTTGGACAAAATGTTTAAAATATCTTATTTTTGTGAAAATGTGCATTTTTTCATTTATTGTTTTATTTACTTTAGCTATACTTTTGAGAAAATAAGTTTACATGCAAATGTTATTTCATTTTGTAAAAAAATATTTATTTTGAAAACATTTTCTAGTTTTACAAATACACATTTCAGCATTATCACTAATCTGTGTGTGCATTTTCCTTGATAACCAATCAAGTTGACTCATTGTACCATTTATTATATCGCAATTGCATAACGCAATATTGACCTCAATAATCGCAATATGAAATTTTTCCCAAATCGTGCAGCCCTACAGGTTTTCCACAGGTTTTGTACAGGTTTTGCACGCTTTTACCCTAACCAACACTTAGAACGCCTTAGCAACCATATAGGAACACCCTAGCAACATCCAAGCACACTCTAGCAACATGGTGACTGGTTTTGCACAAGCAAAGACTTACTTTTCTAAACAAAAAAAAGTAGAATTCTGGTTCACTAGAGCAGTAGTTTACTAGCAACAGTCTCCAGTTTGATGGATTGTACCACTTCAATTCTAGATTTCCTGAGCCTGGATCTCTTTCAGCATGTTTTGAAGATTCCAAAACACCCAATTACCGACCAACCAACAAAGCATCTCAACCGTAAAAAAAGACGTTTACACTTCACGCTATCAGACAGCACATTACACAACCACGTACCCTGAAAAAGCTAGAGGGGGGCTGAATTATGGGTACGAACGGTTTATTAAGGCGACAAAAATAAAAGCGCAAAGTGTGAGTGGGTGAGAAAGCAAGAGCGAGAATAAAAATGAAAGACCCTTTTTTTTTGGTGACGCCTTTTTATGGGCAATGCATAATCAGCATGATCCACCACCACAATAAAGATGGCCAAGTACAAAGGGCCCAGAAGCGACAAAAGGCCATGTAACCCTGCTCCTCTGTCACAACACACTAACACGATGTGAAACTGTATCATGAGCTTCAACTGGGAGAGGCATGGACCTATTGTCCTCATGTTAAATTGACTATCATCATCAAACGCTCAACTAGAGCACACGCAGAAACTACAGTGTGCCTATATCTCATACACTCAACATTCGGTCACATTACATGCAGCCGCCCAGACTGAGAACAGCCAAGCCACAGTGCCCATTTGGGTCATCCATGCAACAGCTGCATGCCAGGCTGTGGAACGCACCCTCATTTCCATCTCAAGAGCCCCTGATTGATAAATAGGCATCATCCCTGGGATGGCAAACCCCAAAATTGGCCAACGGCCCATGATCGCATCCAAAGAGGGCACATGCATTCATATCCATGCATACATGTGTGCTCATTTGCGGAATTCAATACATGCACATTTTCATTCACCGCATTTGCTTGACTCTCAAATAGCACAGCCATAACGGAGGGCATATGAAGTTGGCTCCACAGTCACGTATTTTAATGCAACACCCTTTGCTCTGCTGGAGGGCGGAGATACATTTGTCCACGTTCACGATTCATTAAACCCATCAACACATTTCCCAGCGTTACGAAGTCCACTGTGGTTTGACTGAAGGATGTGTGGATGAGGTGTGAATCTGTGGTTTCGCAGGGGTTTGTCTATTAACCCATTTAAAAACAGTGATTGATAATCTAAAAAAGATTGCTGTTTAAAGGGTATGAACGCACACACTGTCAAACTGTCAACTATAAATGCATACTGTCTTCATTTTATGGGAACACTTTCATGTCATAATACGGATGCAATATTTAAAGGTTTGTTATTCATTATTACGAAATCTCTGTCTCATAAAACAGGATCACAAATAAGCATGTCTTTGATCACACTTATTACAATTTTGAATAAGTAACTGATTCTCATTGTAAAACTGCTTGTTTTAAGCAGTACTGTTACATTACAATGTTTTAAAAAATGTGCATTTATTATTTTTGGATGATACATAGATCCATACACACATGTACAGTATGTGTGTGTGTGTGTGTGTAGTTATATCGTATAAACGATTTATACTGGAAAAAATAAGTACTTTAACAAACTTTTGCAAACGTTTCCAGGGAATAAAATGCATTTTAGATTTAAAAATACGGGATTAAATGGTTTATCATTCTTTGCAGTGCTTGGATATGCATAACAACTGGTTCAACCGAACAGCTTTTTATAAATGTTTATTCAAAACAACAACAGAATTTCAGCATTATGGACTCGATTCATGGAAAGACGGGTAAAACAAAACTACAAAAACAAATCGACTAAGCCTGTCAGGATTGCTATTCAACCAGGTGGTGGAATTCGGTACTAGTCAAAGCTTAAATAAACACTTCAAAGCAACGGTTTTGCTTTCCTTTTATAGTTAAACCAACAACACAGTATTTAAACACGACATATAGTTCATGTTGGCAAACCAACCGTCGATTAAACAACATTTAATCAGATTACTCGACCCAAACACTCCTCAAACCTGGCAGTTTTGTTTGCTAAGCATAGCTGACAAACATTAACGTACATGAGCGTCGCGTCTAAGTTACCTTCCGCTTCAATGGATCGTTCCAAGAAACGCAACGCAAGACTCACCAGAGACGGTAAACGTTGTTTGGAAGCGAGTCCCTGCCCTCGCCTGCTTCTCGGAGGCCGGATGCCGTCTTTCCACTCTTCGCCAACACACACAAACACAAGCCGCCTTTTCTGACGAAAAACACGCAGCTTCGCCCGACCGATTTCGGTCAAACTTGCGCTGGTATCCTCAGTCGAACGGGTCGGAGGCGCTTCGCGTGCGGTTCACTATGGCGATCGTTTCCCTGGAGCGTTTGGTGACGGTGCTCGGGGCCGGGAGGGGTGCTGTTGATACCCTTCTACTGACGCCTCCGCCTTGACATCGGAGGAAGAGGAAAGCCTTCTTGTGCAATTATTTGAACATCGCACTCAACTGAAACTTGACAAACAGCGCCGCCTGCTGTCCAACGGCCGCTATGACGCATGTGCTCTCGTGGGTGTTGTGGCGTCGCGGTTGCGACCTAGAGAAAAGGGGTTGAACCTCATGAACGTGAAAAGGTTCTCCGATGGCAGCGGTAGAAACTTTCTTTTAAAGATTTTTTAAATGAATTTAGTTATTGTAATTAAGATTTAAAAGTTAGAATTTTGGGTGTATTGTTAATGAAACCAGTTATTAATCAATTTTGCATCTCTTCTAACAGACTGTATTTCCTCTGTCCTGACAGATTTGGGTAACATTATAATAGCTTTCAGTTAAAGCAATAGTTAAGATTATTAAGTTGTTAAGTTGTCACACCATTTTACGTCAGTAAATTCATAAATGCGGTTAATCTTTTCTATCGTTGAAAAAAAATGTAGCATGATGTTACATGATATGTATATGGGGAAAGTTGGGAAAATGCTTCTAGAGGATTGTGTTCAATTGTGTAACTGAACTTCTGACTCATACCATATAATTGCTATATAGGCTTTGTGGAATTTCACTTTTGTGAAAACTAGTGGTCTCCCCTAAAATGCTCAACAGGTCATTTCATAATCACTCCAATAGTTGTCATGAAACTATGATTCATATGCAGTATATATGAAACAAAATTTCCACAAGGCCTATATCTTGGCAATATATATATATATATATATATATATATATATTAACTATATTTTGTCAAAATCTTTTTTAATAAAAAAAATTGCACTACCGTTCAAAGGTTTGGTGTAAGTACTTTTATTCAGCAAGGATATAGATGGGTAAAAAGTGATAGTACAGACTTACATTGTCATAAGATTTGAATATATGCTGTTCTTTTTATACTTTTTATTCATCAAAAAATATTGAAAAAAATATAACAGGTTCCAAAAAATAAAATAAATAAAAACATAAATAAATAAGTAGCACAACGGTTTCCAACACTGACAATAAATCATCATATTATGATTTCTGAAAGATCATGTGACACTGAAGATTGGAGTATTGGCTGATGAAAATTCAGCTTTGCTTTGCCACCACAGGAATAAATTATATTTTAAAGTATATTAAAATTGAAAAATTTTATTTTAAATTGTAATAATATTTCACAATATTACTGTTTTAACTACATTTTGATCAAACAAATGCAGCCTTGAGCAGAAGAGACTTCTTAAAAAAATATATATATATATTTTTTAAATCTTACTGATTCCAGACTTTTGAACTGTCTTGTATACTATGCATTGACTCATGTATATCAAGTATATAATAATGTCTTACTGACATATTTACAATTAATAAGCATATTGTAATTAAAAATGGTTTGGCCACTTCCTTCATAATTTGAGAATACAGTAATTGAAATTGAAACGGATGCATGCAATGAAAAGTTAACTTTGCAACTGATATACTGTTATTTTATTATTGACATTGTACTTGTGACAAAGACCACAAACAGCAAAAAACATATTCACAATTACACACTGATATCACAGATTGAGAAAGAGCATTTTTGTTGATGTACTAAGCATTACTTATTATAGGAATTCATAGAAAAAGAAGAGGAAGAAGAAAGACAAAGAAAGAAGAACTCATTCAGTCATGTCTTACAAAAGCTGATTACCAACATCCCTGTAACTGGAACCGGTGAATGTGAGGTCACTCACACTTTCAGTTTATGTCAGAAACCCACAAATCACTAAAAAATGCTGGGTTGTTTCAACCCAACTTTGGGTCAGATATGGACCAACCAAACTTTTGGTTTAAAAATTTCATTTAAAAATTTAACTCAGTGATGATTTGTGCATATCTGAGATATGGATGTATTATAATTTACATGTTTTCTGTCGTAGTTACAGTCTGGCAGTGGATGATGTGTATGAATATCTGTGGGAGAAGAATAAAGACATCGCTAATAAGACAATCGGGTTGGACTTCCTGAGGCAAATGGAGAACGGCAGCCTGCAGGCGGAGCGATACGTCAACTTCACCATCCAGGACATCGGCTACCTACTGAAAGTCACCAAGATGTTGAAGAGAATGAGTGCCAAAATAGCTCAGCCCAATGACATCAGGGACTTCATGAAAGGCAGATATTTGAGCTACAAAAGTTTTGCAGACTTTATGCTCAAACAGTATTAATAGAAAAACAAAGACTTTAAACATTTCAAGTTGCTTCTGAATTGACTGAACATGCTTTATACTCCACAGGGCAAGCCTCCCATTCAGCAAACTCCAGCTATGAGGAAGTATCTGGCGTTCTACAGAAACCTGATGGACAATGAAGAGCCGCTGTACTTTGTTGTGGGTCTTCTGCCCTGCGCTAGACTCTGGGTTTGGCTGGCTAAAAATCTCAACACTCCTCCAACCAATGCCTACTACACTTGGAAGGTGGAGAATATGGGCGGCCATCCTGAGAAACACTACAGAGCTCTGCTGAATAAGTATCTCATCACACCTGAGAAAGTGGAGAAGGCTAATGCTATGTTCCGCGCACAGATGCAGAATGAGCACGATTTCTTCTTCTCATCTTGACTGGTTGTTAGTTAAATGCAAACACTGTTTGAGCAATTCAATATTTCATACAAAAAAAATGTTTGCAATAATAATCCAAATATTGATTGATGTATTGGCTTATTTTAATTGATTTTGCTTACAATAATTTTAAAAGAATTATATTTTCTACCAAATATATTCTATCAAATTTAATCATGAAAAACTATGTTTGCAACCACATTTTTTGGAATTTACAAACAATAATAAACAATAATACATTTCTTTTACATTTTGTCTGAATATTTAGTGTGTTCAGCAGTTCATTAACTTGATTATTTTGTTAAATATAAACTGAAAAATATATTTCACATATTATGGTTATAGGCACTGTATTTAATTTCTGTATCCTCTTTTTTTTTATTTCTTTTTTTTTACAGTTTTAATACATTTTAATTTGTACATTTTCTGTTTTTATTGTGATTTTACGATTATCTTAATTCCTTTAAAGCACATTGAATTACCTTTGTGTATGTAGAAATAAACTTGCCTTGCCTATATGGTTACATTTGAAAGTTTTTCATTAAATATAGTTTTAAAATGATATATTTAGATTTTACAATGAACGAACCAACTGCAACAAACAAAAGTTAAGAATATTATTTATTTTGTAGTATTTATTTGTAAGTATTAATTCTAATTTGCACTACTCTATTTAGGCTAACTACCCTATTTAACTCCACATTAACTATTATGTTATTATGATATATATACTGTATATATATATATATATAAATGAATAAAAATAATGCAACTCAGAATATGACGCAAACCTGCAATAATTAAATGTTAAACAACACAAATATCCTTTATGTATTTAATCCGATTCTATTAACCAATGTCTTTGCTTCTGATCTTCGATGATCCAGTTCAACCATACTAATAAGCAAAAATTACTCTAGACAAACATTTGTGTCTTTTTTTATTGCTGAAGTGTGTTGAACTTTCTTCTTCTGCATTCTACTGTACGGACGTAAATTTACTTTCCCTTCAGCCTGAGGCTTATTCATTTCACTTTTGGTGTGATTAGGCTTTTATATTTGCCAAAAATAGAACTTTTTTATTTTAAAAACAAACAAGCAAGCCCTGTCCAGATTTAAAAAGTAACACAAAAGTAACGTAACACACTACTTTCCATAAAAAGTAACTAAGTAACGTAATTAGTTACTTTTTTATGGAGTAACGCAATATTGTAATGCATTACTTTTAAAAGTAACTTTCCCCAACACTATATATATATATATATAGTTTTATTAGTTAATGAATAATGTTAATCAAACGTCATCTGAGTCTTTATGATATGTAGGACAAGTGTCACTGCACTTTACCCCAGTTATATAACGTTAAACACAAACTCCGGGTCAGACGCACTGTAGTTCAGTTCATCTCGTCGACTCTGTGCTGGATTAAAGATGTCCCGGGCAGCAGACAGATTAAAAGTGGTTTTGAATCATCTGGATCGGTCCCACGGTGCTGTCGTATCCTTTCAGAGGCGCGTTTCTGGTCTCTAAATCTAGGTCTAGACAGGCGGCTGTTCCCGGATCACATGCAGCACAAGCTGAGGCATTACGAGCAGGCCTGCTTTATTGTTTACTACTTTTCATTGATGGAAATATTTATTTTTAACAAAACATTGGATAATATTTTAATTATAATTACTCTCTTGCTATGATAAATAAATAAAGCAGAGCGATCCCTTTTACGTTAACTTATGTTTGTTCTGTACTGGACAGTGATTATGTATTAACCTGCTGACATCCGTATGTTATGAACTTTAACCTGTATCATTCAGAGAGCATCCGTCACTTCTGCACAAAACGTGTCGTATCATCATCCTCAAGTTCTTCAGTTAGTCAGCTTTCAATTATAATTTCAATTTAAGTGTGCTTTTTATAAAACTGCACATTTGTATTGCCAAAGGAATGGCAGCTAGGCATACCAAATGTGTGCAATGTAAAGTACAATAACATTAGTGCAAATACTTAATGGTTATAAAGATTTTGCATTTTGTAATTGTTTTAGTCTTTAAATATTGCTGAAATTCATTTAAATACACTTTACATAATGTCCTAATATTTGGTTCTTGGTCTGTTTGTAAACTATATTCTGGCTTGTCTGCAGATACACTTTTGACACGAGCGTCCTGACTCCAGAACAGAGAATAGCCTATGAAGAGAATGGTTTCATACTCATCCGAAAATTGGTATCAGAGGAGGATATTGACAGATTCAGGCAAGACTGATCAAAACATTGAACATTCATTCATTTAGTTTATAATTGTGGTATTTGCCTATAAAAGAATTAAAAATATGCCAGAAAAAAAACTTGCTTCTTTTAAATAAAATATTGACTGAATACAAAACTAAATGTAAATAGACACCCCGTATTTTTTATTCCAGAGTAAGGGCAATTCATACAATACATTTAAACTGAGCTACTTAAATACCATCTCAGAACTTTCTACCACGACTCTGCTGTTCTTCCTGTATACGTTGATTGACAGATGTCTCGTCCAGTCAGCGGTGAGTAATCCCAAACCAATGGCGCTGTCTCAAACTATACCTACCTCTTCCGGTTTGTCTGATTTGTCGTTGTGTTTTCTGACTTGTTTATTTGTTGTCGGATTTGTCCTTGTTTTCTGACTTATTTTGTTTTCGAATTTGTCATTGTGTTTTCTGACTTATAATGTTTTCTGAATTGTTGTTGTGCTTTCTGAATTGTTTTGTTTTTTAGACTTGCATTTGCGTTTGTAATTTATTTTGTTTTCAGAATTGTGATTTGTTTAGCACTTCTCGGCCACCGTAAGAATGCCTTCTGTGTGAACCTAAATCTGCAATAGAAAGTTTGACAGACTTGATTATAAAATGCATTGCTATGGACTTTCACTCTGTGATAAGGTTATGTAATGATATGAGGAAAAAGCAAACAAATATACTGACTTCTAAAGGCACGTTTTGTTATGTCTTTTTTAATGTTTCATCTGCTACAATAATACAATGTCTTAAATTATCTTCATTTGAGGAGCCAATATTGATTATTATTTATTTTGTAATGCATTGTTCTATATATTAATCATTCTTATATTTAATGCATTTTTTTTTTAAATATGCAACACCAGCACAGTCACAGAATTTCTGTTTAGTGACATTAACAGGAGATTATTAGGCTGCATGTAAACATAGGTACTGCTGGAAAGTTGAGTGAATTCAGAGTAAATCATTAACAGAACATCTATATTTCAGTGCTCTTCTTTGCACATAACTGAGTGTGTGTGTGTGTGTTTCACAGGAAAGAGTTTGAGCATATCTGTAAGAGAGAGGTGAAGGTGCCTGGTTTGGTGATAATGAGAGATGTAACCATTGCTAAATCCGAGTTTGTTGAAGGTGAGAAGGCTGTGACCAAACTTCAGGACTTCCAGGAAGATTCTGATCTTTTCCGCTACTGCACTGACACAAGCACAAGTACTATGTATACAATACACTCACTACAGCAACAAGAATATAATTTTCACCTATATTTGATGGCATGTTTCTCAGATCCTGAAGTATGTGGAGTGTTTCACCGGGCCCAACATCATGGCCATGCACACCATGCTCATCAACAAACCACCTGACACATGTATATATTTGTGCGGACCTGGTGATCGGATTAAGCATAATATGTGGCTTAAGTGTGCATTTTTAATGTAGCATTTATATAGTCATCAAAAGGTTTCATTAAATAGCATTGCTTAGTATTATATATATATACTATAAATTTATTTGAGCTATTATTAATATTGTAAAATAAAACTGCATCTAAATCAAAGCAACAGTAATAGCAATAGTATTAATTAGTGTGTGAGTGTGTTTGTATACACATTTATTTTTAAATAAAATTACTGTTCAAATCTAATACATCTATATTGTGGTGTATATGGTTTTCAACCACAATTCTGAGAATAGAAAACTTTTATGTATAAAATTTTAAAATATTTTATATATACTTTAAATAATACCTAAATGCGCACTTCCTTCATACTTCCCAGGTAAGAAGACCTCTCGCCATCCTATGCACCAGGATCTACACTACTTCCCCTTTCGACCTGCTGACCGCATTGTGTGTTCATGGACCGCCATGGAGAAAGTGCACCGCGGAAATGGCTGTCTGGTCGTCCTGCCCGGTTCTCACCATGGTACTCTGCAGGAACATGACTACCCAGAATGGGAGGTGAGAGAGGCTGAGGATGTGAGGGTGATTACGCAGATGCTCTTTTATCAGTCAACCTCACTTTGCCTCTTTGTTTCCTTCCAGGGTGGAGTAAATAAGATGTACCACGGGGTGCGTAACTATGATCCAAACCATCCCAGAGTGCATTTAGAGATGGAGAAAGGCGATACAGTGCTTTTCCATCCTTTGCTGATCCACGGCTCAGGAATGAACCAAACCGAAGGATTTTGAAAGGTAGGTATACTTGCATGCATAAACATAGAGCTTTTACACTAATATTTAAGACCGTTCACTTTGCCCTGTTTTCACGTGGTGGTAACATACAAACAGACAGAGCTAAACACATGGGTAAATGGGGACCAGGGTAATTTTCTCATTCTTAAAGCACATTCGGAGGTGGTCAGGGCCACATTGCATTTGTAGTATTAAAGGAATAATTCACCCAAAAGTGAAAATTTGCTAAACATTTACTCACCCTCAGGCCATACAAGATGTAGATGAGTTTGTTTCTTCATCAGAACAGATTTGGAGAAATGTAGCATCACATCATTTGCTCACCAATGGATCCTCTGCAGTGAATGGGTGCCGTCAGAATGAGAGTTCAAACAGCTGATAAAAACATCACAATAATCCACAAGTAACCCACACGACTCCAGTCCATCAGTTAATGTCTTGTGAAGTGAAAGGCTGCACGTTTGTAAAATCCATCAAGATGTTTTAACTTCAAACCACTGAATTTCTCCAAATCTGCTCTAAAGAAGACACAAACACAAGTATATCTTATGGCCTGAGGGCGAGTAAATTCTTTAGCTAATTTAAATTTTTTGGATCAATTACTCCTCTATAACTCTATCATACCTACTGTATCTTACTTATGCAACATGTTGAGTTTTAAAACAGCTGTAAAATAAAACCAAAGGCTGATCGAAAATTTGGATGCACAAGAAGAGTAACAATACACTGAGTTTTGGTGCTTTGTCAACAACCAACTTAGTAAGTGTATGAAGGCACAAAGTCAGACATTACTAGATGTAAATTTGAATTTGTTTGCATTTATTTCAGGCCATCTCCTGTCACTATGCCAGCTCTGACTGCTATTACATTGATGTGAAAGGAACAACTCAGGAGAACATCAGCAATGAAGTGAAAGAACTTGCAGCCAAGAAGTATGGAGTTGATGATACAGTCTCCTTTCATGTGTGTTCACAGCTTCAGATAAATGCAAAGTTACTTTCATGCACACATGTGTGGTTTATCATTGCAGTCGGGTTCGACGTGCATGTGTTTGTTCTGTGTGCAGGACACCTGGGCTTTGCGGGGACATCTGGTCCAAGGAAACAGAACATCAATGTGATTGCCAGTGCTCATCTGTCTGCTTAGAGATTGAACAGCTTCACAACTGGAATAATTAACAGCACACAGCTGTTTGTTAATTATTTAACAATCTCCCTAAAAACGGATTAAATATGCTTTCACCAAAAAGTACAAACTTTGGCCATCAGGCGGCACTGTATGGAATACATCATGGATCTCACTTTCTGAATTGCCATCTGTGCCTGGGACAAGCAGTCCTGATACCGATCTAATATTAATGAAAGCCAGACACTGTAATATTAGCATCAATCAATCTTGGTGTGGAATTTTCTTTAAGCAATGTAAGAACATTGGGAATTCATTGTCTTGGATTGATACTTCAGGTGTTCCTGAGAGGGATTCCTGCAAGTAATTATTGAGGTTATTGCTTATGTTGAATTACTTTGATCAGAATTGGAGTTCACAGCGGACACTGGGAAAGATATAATTGGGTACAGCAGAGCATTTAATCGGCCTCCATTTGAAATATCTAAGATCCAGCTTTTTGCTGATGGAAATGATGGTTTTGAAAGAATCGGAGGCAAAGCAATAAGAGGCAAATGTATTTATTTCACTGTTAATTCTGCTATATTAAATGGATATGTGTTTGATCAACATTAGATCAGGTCTAACCGTGCCTTTTAAACTTTATGACACTACAGTAATAGTAAATTTGCCTTGACAATAACACTACTTTTGGAGTTATAATCTAATTAATCAAATTAAAAGTTTCTACCATATAATTTTGCGCAATAGCTGCCACCGCTTGGATTAAGCACGAGTGGTTTTCCAAACTCGATCTTACACATGTGAGCAAAATACACAATCTATTTATATATTTACCAGCTAACTGCAACCAATTCCTTGATCGTGCTGATTAAAAGCAGAATAAGTGGGCATTTTAAGAGCAGCCATGAATGCTTGTTTGTTTCTCTCTCTGCATACGCACATATAATAAATACCATACGTGCCCAGACTGCAGTCTCCATTAAAATCAAATTGCTTTTAGCAGAAAAGGTAAATGCGCTGAATGAAAGTGGCTATTTAAAGTGGTCGATGGTACAAACTCCCTCAGACCAATTCAAACCACACCCTATCAAAAACTTCCACAGAAATAATGATGAAGTGGTAAGTATGGTTCAACAGTATTCACAGTTGAGAAATTGCCCTGGATAATTCACTAGATTGAGCTTAAAGTGATAGTTCACCCAAAAATGAAAATTCTGTCAACATTTATTTTACCCTCATGTCATTCCAAACCTGTACGAAGATGTTTAGCAGAATGTTCATGCTGCTCTTTTCCATACAGTGAAAAAAAATGGGCTGTCAAGCGCCAAAAGTGACTAAAAAAAGCAACATAAAATTGTATGATTCCAAGTGGCCCAAAACAAACCACTTTTGAATGTACACAAGAGCAAATGAAATCTGAGTGTTACTGCAGCTTTCCATCCTCCTTTAGAGGATAATAAATATGGATCTGGAACGACATGAGGGTTAGTAAAAGGTTTGGTGAGCAATTCCTTTGCGAGGGAACCCACTTTTACACTTAATGGGTGCCTTCTAAGAGTGATTCTCCAGAGCGGAGAGTCTGTTTTTAATGGAGGTACCTTTGTGAAAAAGTCATCTTATGCCTGGAATAGTATTTCACATGCTGTCTATGTGTATGTGTGTGTGTTTTGGAGAATGGCTGGAGTCGCTACTGTTTTCATGGGGTGTCTGCCTTATGGAGACTTGGAACCGAAGAAAATACCTGGATGGTATCCAGACATCCAGGAATCCATTTACACAGCATGGAAAAATGCCTCATGAATGCACATGCACACCCTATAGCCAAACCAACCTAGAAAGGGCAAATCATATGCAGGTTTTCCTCATAGACATTGATATACTTTGATAAGCGTTGAGAAACGGAGACAGAAGCCAATCTAAAGAGTGACATATAGCTTTTAACTTCACTCTATCTCTCAGCATGTCTGTTTCTCATTTCCTGACATTCTGTCTTTCTCTCTCTTCGTGTCCGTTTCACTTTAGATACAGACATAGCTGAAGACTAACTGATCATTCTCGTGTATAATATAAATATCCAATCCTGGCTCCAGGTGGGCCTCTCAGTTGTTGTTAAAGAATGTTCTTAAGGTTTGCAGATGTGTAGTATAAATACTATATCCAACATATGACAGTCACCTTTGACCCGGATGTTTTTTGACCGATAAAAAAAAACGAGTGAAAAAAATTCACTTGGTTGTTTAGTACAATTTGACAAAAAAGGAACAACTTTTCTTTAAATCTGGTGGCCTCTGCACCCTCGGCCTCATTGGATAGCAAAGTGTCCACTGATTCCACATCTCAGCAGATGCAGGACAATTATTTCTGACACTCTTGTTAAAGAATGCCATGTGTAGCACACACAGTAACATAAAACAGTGATACGCTTATTATTATTATTATTACTCATTCTGCAGAATTATTCCAACCCTGGAAAGTTTTATCACACAAAAATTGCCAGTTTATAGATAAAGTATTGCTGAACAGAGATGATATTTGCAGATTATTAGACAGACAGACATAAAGACAAGATAGATGGATAGATACTGATCTCAGTGGAATGCACAGGTTATTATTTATGCAGACCGGTGAAAGTGCTGATATTTAGTTAATCGGCTTAATCCTGATGAGTAGCTGCTTGAGGAATCTATCACACGAACTTGATCATGCTTTATTGGAATGGAAACCTGATGCTAGACTGTAAACCTGCCAACAAGTTTAGACAGTAATGGTCAGTGATGATAGAGGCTGTCATGCACACCGAAGGTCTGATCAGTGGGTGTGTGCTGGGGTCCGTGTCTCCCTCTCTCGCCCCTCCTGCGTTCCCCTGGGCCAGTGAAATTCCAGCTCCCCCTCCTTTCCTTTCCGTTCCCTCTTCTCTTTCTCTCTCTCACACACACACACACACACACACACACTCTCAGGTCTCAAGACTCTCTGCTGTGGTTCTGATACCTGCATAAGACACGCTCATCTTCTGAAGGATGGCCAGGACTCATACTGTCCTGCTCACACTGCTGCCCACCGTCCTCATTCTAATTGGTGAGTACCTATTACCTATCAATACTTTAGGGATAAATTTTTTCCCCATTAAATATTAAAAAAAAACTGCTTTACTTAAAAACAGTAGTTGTTCATGACAACTCATTTAGATGGGTAAAAAAAAAGTTTGATGAAATTTATGCTGCAAAAATTAAAATAAAGTCAAAAGTTTTTGCAGAATCCTATTTCCCATTGTAAAATAGTACTGTGTGATTTAAGACACCATGGTAATAAATGATTGCCACACTCATATACCATGGTATTTCTAAAGATACATGTCCAAAATACTCAATAGTACAAAAAAACAAAACAAGGTACAACTATGGTACCAGGTCTAAAAAAACTATGGTAGTATGTTTTTTTTTTGGTTAATGTATTCAAAGCTCTTTCATTTCTTGATGCTCTTTAAGAAACACATCTCTCCCTTTAGTTCTGGCCGGGGTTGAAAGTGCAGCCGTTAAAGATGGAAAAGACAGTGAAGCTCAAAGTGAGTTCAACACACACACACACTCCAAATCCAAAAACCTACACACTCCCTCCCTCTTACTCAATTGCTTTAGCAGGAGCATCTAAAGTTTTCATGCCAGCATCTGATGCCTCAAACTTCTTCAAACGCCGCAGTCGCAGATCCCCAAGAACTTATGAAGAGTACTATGGTGAGTGCAGTAAAACGGTCCTAATGTTTTTCATCTCAGTTCTGCTTTTCTCATCGTCTTTGTAGGTTTAATCAAAGTGAAGAGACAATTACACTCCTAATATTTAACAATTAAGGAGTTTAAAGTCAACTTTAAGTAATCTCCCATTAAATTGTATTCACTTTTAATTTATGCTAATGCACACCACAATAGGATACAGATGTGAAGAAATGAGTGAACAGACTTCTTTAACGTCATTCTCTCAGATATTAGAAATATGAGCAAATTAACTAGAAGGAACACTAGGAGGTAACACTTTACTATCAGGTTCATTAGTTAACTACTTTAGTTAACATGAACTAAGAATGAACAATACTTTTACTGCATTTATTAATCTTAGTCAATGTTAATTTCAGCATTTACTAATGCATTATTAAAATTACAAGTTGTGTTTGTTAACATTAGTTAATGCTTTGTGAACTAACATGAACAATGAATGACTATTTTTATTAAAGATTAATAAATATTGTAATACATGTATTGTTCATTGTTCATTCGTGTTAGTTAATTCTTTAACTAATGTTAACAAATAACACCTTATTGTAAAGTGTTACCAATAAAACAAAGACTTAAGTACATTTTACAAAAAATACTATTTCAGTCTTTCTACTTCAAAATTTCATGTTTAATTTAATGTGTTACTAGCCTTTTCTGTGTGAAATTTTACTTGCGATAAAAAATAATAATAATCACAGTTTAACATAAAACACCATAGATAAAACTAACCAGAACTGTAAAAGCAATATGTATTACCAAAATCAATTTACAGTCTTTATATCCCCCCTACTCCTGCAGGCCTAATTACTGTAATTAAATATGCAGATAAAAGAGCCAATAGGAATTCGACCCTAACACAATATGCTAATTTGACCAGACCTCAACTGAAAAAAACAAAACAACAAAACAAAAACTAATAATTAAAAAAAAAAAGCTAGATGTACAACATGCAAACCTATTATATTTCTCAAGCCCACACAACATTTTTTTTTTTTTGGTATTGAAGAATATACATTTCTTTATGGAAACTTATTTCTGCCATGGGCCAAAAATATAAAGGAAAAAAATTATCAAATTATGGGGAAAAAAAGGGTCAAAATTACGAAATACAAATTCAAAATTTTGATTATTTTCTGGCTACTCTGAGTTTATATCTCACAATTTTTTCTTTTTCTTTCATGGAAAGAAAAAACGTTTAAAAAGGTCATTGCGACCTTTACTCACAATTCTTACTTTTTCTTACAATTGTGAGTTAATATCTCGCAATTTTCGACTTTTTTCCCCCTCAGAATTAAGAAAAACATTGTCACAATATTTTGTGGAGTCACAAAATTACAAGTAAAAAAATCCATAGGAAATACGTTTGGATATTATCTTGGACGGTGGGAGGCTCGGAGTCAAAAACATTGGGCTAGAAGTTCCAACAGAACAATATGGAGCAGTGTTCTCTCCCTCCCACAGACACACACATACATCGTCCAAACGGCATCAGGCTGTCCTTTACCCTGCCAGTCTATGACTGCAGCAGTGAAGGCATGGAAAAGTTTTACTTTAGTGTATTTTAAATTGTCAGCAATGTGTGTGTGATGGCAGTGCAGGTTGGAGGAGTTAAAGCAGTTGGGGCTCGAAAGTGGAATTTGCAGACATGAGCTAAACTAACTTCCCTCACTAGAGAGAGAGAGAGAGAGAGAGAGAGAGAGAGAGAGAGAGATTATTTTTGGCACTCAATTTGCTAATATCTGTGAGCTGCTGTCAACTGGTTTATGGAAGTGTGTCACCCTTAAACCTGTTTATGTTGGACAGTCTGGAGCTTTTGAGGAAGTCTCTAGAGATGAAAGCAACCCAAAAACGTGCAGGACTGCAAGGATAGATGCTTAACTGCTCTTGTATGATGTTTCATGAAATCCCATAGCAATTTTCCCTGATGTGTGTCCATTGTGAGATTATCAGCATTGGTTTGTCATTTCTAAACTCTACTGACAGCTTTGTCAATTAATACATTTTGAGCAAGAATGTAACAAAAATGTGAAAGTGCCATTGAAAACCCATACTGGACAAATATTTCTATTGCAAATAAATGCTATTATTTTCAAATCATCAAAGAATCCTGAGGGGAAAAAAAAGGTTTCATGGTTTGCACAAAAATATTAGGTGGCGCAACTTTTTCAACATTGACAAGTGTTTCTTGAGCAGCAAATCAGTATATTAGAATGATTTCTGAAGGACCATGTGACACTGAAGACTGGAGTAATGCTGCTGAAAATTCAGCTTTGCATCACAGGAATAAATCATTTTAAAATATTAAAATACATATTTTAAATTGTAATAATATTTCACATTATTTCAGTATTTTTGATCAAATAAATGCAGCATTGGGGAGGATAAGAGAAAACATTAAAAAATATTTTTAAATGGTATCTCATTTACACATTTATTGTATACTTAAATCTATGCTTTTTTTCACTAACTTTTAGCAGAGCAGAGGGTGAAGATGGCTACAAACGAGCGAAGGAGAGAGCACTTAGAGGAACAAAACAACAAATACGAGAACTATTTAGAGGAGGAGCGCGATGGTGAGACTGATCTCCCTGTCTGATTTTCTTGGCTTCCAGAAAAGAGAAACATGCTGATCAAACCCACCACAGGATAGAGTTCCCAGACAGGACTGCTGGACTAATAAGAGGCTGATGACAGCAGTGGCTCTGAGCCTCTCAGACACCCCGTTTCTATCCAGTACACTAGATAGGTGACATTAGATTCCTTCGGTGTTTTGAAAGTAAACGGTCAATTTGGCGCAGTCGATTCAATTTAATCAAAAATGCAATTGTTCCGAATACACCGATTAAGAAGATTAGTTTATGAATGATTCCTTACCATGGCAACCATAGTTCATAATTCTAGCTAAAGCTCCACAGTTACTAATTATTGTTTCTACATAAAGAATGTGTTAGATTTTAATTCCATTTTGATGATAATCGTAGCTAATACCATGCTACCGCAGTAAATTGGTGGAACCTCCAAGACTAAATTTATTTTATGCTATAGTTCACCCAAAAATAATATTTACTCACCCTCAGGCCATCCAAGACATAGACGAGTTTGTTTCTTCATTAGAACAAATTTGGAGAAATTTTGCATCACTTGCTCACCAATGGATCCTCTGCAGTGAATGGGTGCCTTCAGAGTAAGAGTCAAAACAGGTGTTAAAAACCATCACAATCCACAAGTAATCCACACAACTCCAATCCATCAATTAATGTCTTCTGAAGAGAAAAGCTGCCATGTCCATCATCAAGGTGATTTAACTTTAAACCGTCACTTCTGTGCATATTTCTCTCCTGATTCAGACAAGATGACATTTTCGCTGAAGAAAGCAATATCATGAATAGAAGATTTTTATTTTAGCTGGAAGCAATGGTTTGAAGTAAAAAAACTTAGATAAGTCTTAATGATTAATTTGTTTCTTACAAACACATCTTTTCACTTTTCAAGATGTTATTGATGGACTGGAGTCGGGTGGATTGCTTGTGGATTATTGTGATGTTTTAATCAGCTGCTTGGATTCTGACGGCACCCATTCACTGCAGAGTATCCATTGGTGAGCAAGTGATGTAATGCTACATTTTTCCAAATCTGTTCTGATGAAGAAACAAACTCATCTACATCTTGGATGGCCTGAGGGGGGAGTACATTTTCGGCAATTTGTTATTTTTGTGTGTACCGTTCCTTTAAAAAATTGTCACCTTTTGTCATTTAAAATATAAGTCTTTGAGAAATGGATCCAGTTCTAGCTGTTGTCTGTCTTTGCATCAACAGAACAGTACGAGAGAACCAGAGAGAAGAATGAGCAGTGGAGAGAATTCCACTATGATGGGCAATACCCATGATACCCTCACCACCGCCACTATGTCTGAGCACATATGAGCACATGCAGTGCCTCGGAAAGTGGATAACCATCGTTTGAGGGATACCTTCATGACATAATATAATTATTCAATTATTCATTAGCACTTACAGACTAAATGCTCTTAATACATGTATAATAAAAGGGTTTGTGTTTGGAATGTGACAATATTCCCCTCTGTTCTAATTGCTTGTCTTTACTCTATTATTGGATTCATTATCAAAACATTCATGATTAGTTTGTGATTTTAAGCTTTTTTCCAAGAGCTACTCCTTATTTCCTTCTTCAGTAATTACATCCAGCTGTCATCTGACCTCCCTTTTTAATAACTTTTGGTCTGTACTGATGTGTGACTAAAGCTCTTCTCATTTTCCACATCAGTGAGGATTCGATATAAAACATACCAACCAGAATTATAAAAAAGAGAAAGGAGAAAGCCAATAAAAAAAAAAAAAAGACTTTTGCACCATCTTGTAAACTCATAAATATGGTGTGTGTGTGTGTGTGTGTATATATAGATATATATATATAAAAAAAAAAAAAAGCCCAGGTTTGTGCGCCTACAGACGGGACAATAATTCCTAGGCAGTATTTGAGTGACATTCCTGTGCTGAAAGCTTAGACAGATGGGAAAATGAGTGAGAAAGAAACAAGTGGAAGAAAAGATTTATCGACCTTCCTGAGCCTCGAATCTCACATGCACCTGACTGACAGGAGAATGACTTACTGCCACTCCTACTGCTTCAAGAAACGCACACAGCTGTAATAAAGCTTCAAAACATCTCTGCATGCTGGAAGACGGACAAGATTTAGCATGTGTGCCAGTCCCTCTGGTCAAATCAATGAGAACATTCACAAAGTCTATAAAACACTCAGTTCACTAAGTATGGTTTAATTCAGGTGTGCCACTTGACATGGTGGATATAAAAGTTGAGAATTAAAATAATACCAGTACATAAGAATATTTACATTTAAAAAGACTTGATAGCTTATCTTAAAACAACATATATAGACAACATACAAACAGTAATTTACTAAAATTACATTTAACATTAACCAAATATAACGCTGAAGCACCTTCACTCTCACTTTCTGATTATGAAGACATGATCCAAGCATCCTCTTCTGTGTGAGACTGGGCTCAGGCTGCACACAGGACAGCTGACTCTACTTTAAACTGTTGAGGAACATGGGCCGTTCCTCTCCGCGCGGCAACAGTAGTTCCCCTCCAATTTTGGGTCCCTTTTTCTCCTGTGAACATGAGAATGATGAGACAGGTCAAAACTGGAGCGAGTTACCAAACACATGCTGATATAATTAAATTGCCGAGATGCCATTGAAAGACAACCCAAATTGTAATAAATACATTCCAAATACAGTAACAAATGATAGAATAACTGATGACAGAATTTACAAAAAATGTAATTTAAAAAATAAAAGAATGCAGCCATTAGTACTTATAAATGCAGCCAATATAAATGGAGTGTATATTTTGCTTTTTTTTTTTTTTTGCTGATATATGAAACTATACAACAATTATAACAAATATCACTCTGCTGAAAAGCAGCTCTAAAAAGTCCAACTCAACATGAAAAAAAAAAAGTGTTAAAATTAAAACTGAAAAGCAAATAATAGTAAATAAATAACACTAAAATAATACAGAATAGCTTTGTAGTTATAGAACATCAAATTAATTCTGTTGTAACTTGACTCGAGCATCAGAATCAAGGAGTCGAAATAAGTAAAATAATAAAAACAGTAAAAAATTGAAACTGTACCTTTAACATGCCATCTCTTTCCCACTTAAAAAGGCCACAATGGCTAAAACGGAAAGTGAAATTTATATTACAACATGCAGTAACAAACAATAAACTGACAGTTAAGTATTAAATTGTCAGTATGTTATCAAATGTCTTGTATAACGTAATATATTTAACACATAAATCATAAAGGTGCTGCTGTGTCCCCTCACCTGCAGGCTCCATGTGGCATCCGTGCCAGGCAGATCTTTCTCTGGCCACAGGGGCATTTGAAGAAGCGTTTGATGGCGTCGTGCCATTGGTAGTCGTGTTTCTCTTCCACACAGCGGTCTGCTGGTTTAAAGTGGGTGTATTTACACTGCGGGCGAGAAGGGCTCATGAACTAAACCGCATAAACAGGCCGTGATTTCCAGGTGGAATCAGTCCGAAACCACGTAATTGTCTAATTAGCATCTTAGAGAGGTTTGTTTGCCTTTTGTTCCTCTTGAACAACATTTATTGAGGTATTATGTCACAAATTATGTTTAAAATTGGTTCGTTATTATGACTTGCTGTGAATAAATACTGATTAGCTACTAATGATGCAGGAGAAATCGCTCTGTTTTCGTAAGGACCTGAATGAGACGCACTGTTATTTACTCAACAGGGAGTTTCAAGAGGACCACTTGAAATTAAAAAATTCATCCAGTGCTTTTTCTGACCCGTTTTTCACTGAAAAACAGAGTTATGTAATTTATGGATTACTCGAAATAAAAGACAGATACTGAGTCTCTTTAGTTGCAAATTTGTTGACTTACGGTTTTGCAGGTGACGGCCCGACACTTCATCTCCCGGATGCTCCTCATCTTCTCCTCCATCTTCTCTTTTTGCACCAGCGGCTCAAAATACTCCTGCATGGCCTGTTCCTCAATCTAGACATAAGACATTTTGTCAAACATGCACGCAAACTCCATCGGGGCATCATTTCATATCGCACATGGCAAAAGAAACACTACAGAATCCAAAGCAAATATAGCCATCTGGCCAGATCACACAGAAAGCTTTCAAATCAACCGCAAGCTCCGCCCACCCACTGTGACATCATCATACATCAAAGCATTGACATATCAAAACACACGTGCGCTGATGTTCAGCCAAAATACACACCTCTCCCATCATCCACGAGTTTGAGGACTTGGCGTTGAGGATATGCTGAAACTCCTCCGATTGGATATACTCTAGCTGTTCCCGCCTCTTTTTCTGAGCTGGCTCCTCTTCCTCACCAGTTGAATTTTCATCTGATACTGCAGATGGATTTTTAGAAGAATAAGTGCAATTGAGGAAAAACAAGCAAGCAAAGAGTCAATAATAAAACTGATATGAAAGTCTGTACCTGTACGTGTGGAGAGATTACGCTCCACGCGATCTGCGATGTCTTCACTGTTGGCTCGCTTGCGTTTTACAGCATTCGGGTCGTCTTTAACGATTACTGAGCTTTTAGCTTGGAGTTTCCTCACTGCCGCCAACTATGCAAAAATAAACAATAGCTATTATAAACAAATGTAAATGTTTGTTTGTGTTGGAATCCTTCCTGAAAGCATCAATAGATTGAGGGTTTTCAAACTAGGGACCCAGAGTATAAATATAAAGTATAAAAATATATCAACTAACATATTGGATTTTACAGAACTACTGCTTTACAGAGGCTGGAAATCATGAGTTTAATCATATTATAATCTATTGACAGCTTTGGTTTTTAATAGAAAATTAAAAGATGCATTAGAGCATAGTTTATTCTTACTGTAATTTCTGACAAAATAAGAAGTTAAAATTTAAATATTACAAATATATAAATATTAAAATAAAACGAATAAATACTTGCATATATATATATATATATATACATGTTATTTTTTAAATTTTGTAATAAAAAATGTATTCATAATTATTTTAAAAAGTACAAATGTCTTTAATTTTTAAATTAAAGAACTTAATATTTTGAAAATTTTCACTATTAATATAAGAAATTAAAGTTTTAAATTTATTAACATTATTAAAAGTTTTTAATTTAAGGAGTTTTTAATTTAGTAAATAGTTTAATAAAGTTTTTACTTTTTATTAGTAACACTGATAAAAAAATCAAAATAAAAATAAATGTTCCTGGTATTGAAAATATTCTTTAACAAATGATGGCGCACTTTCCCCAAACAATACCTTTGCGGCTGAGAGGCTCTTTGATGAAGGTGGAGATGTATCAAGGAGGATGTCCTCTCCTTCTGAAAAGCCACGGCCCAGTGTGGGCACAGGAGGGCCTGAGAGACAAGACGTGAGGCCAGGTGACCCTTTCGGAACCTCTGAGGCTGCTTTCGGGGAGAGCAAGGGACCCCTGCTTACATTTGGCCGTGAGGGAGCACTACTCTGGAGCACCCTGGGTAGAGAAGACTTAATATTTATAGTACATATACTATAGGGACAGGTTAAAGGCCTTTATCATTCATAAGCACAAAGGAGTTGCAGTTTACAGAAGTCAGAGACTACAATCGCCAGCAAAAACTCAACACTAATCAATGTATCAGCTTCCAAATGTAACACAAAACAAATACAATGAGTAGTCAAAGTAATATTTAATAGAACAAATGCCTCTCACCTCTTCTGAATCTCTTCCGCCCTCTTCTTTCGAGCCAACATTCTCTGCTGGTGCTCTTCTTTCTGCTTCTTGAGAAGGTCAGACGCTGATATAGACTGAACTGAAGCTGATCCTGCAACAGCTAAATTAAATAAAGGCAAGTTGGAGATTAAATTTGCATGGTTATTAGTATTCACTGAGGCTGTACACATTTTGTTCAATTTCTCAGAAAATAAGACTTCAATGTTTAATTTGCATCTCAAGTAAATGTATACTGGTTTAGGGATGTTTAGCTAAAAAAAAAAAAGATTAACTTTTTGCAGTGCATGCAACATTTAATGCCATGACTTTACAAATGTAAGACATTCTGCTCTGATTTTATACCTTTTTAGGCCTTAATTTGTGGAACTTTTTAAGACCTTTTTAAAAGACTCACAGAAACCTTGCTTATATTTCAGTGACATAAATGTGCTTGTTTTTGGTTTATTTCTTTGCATGATAATTGTAGGGTGGCATTCGGCAGACATCTGCTGGCCCAAAACAGTATAGCAACATCAGAGAGCATTCATATTTATTAGAAGTGCAACCAGTGCTCAAATTACATAAAACGCATGAAAACCAACAGCAATGTCGAATCTGGCATGACGGCCTATGGTTTGAATATGCACAAGCGTAAATGAGATTTGAAGTGATCTTACAGGTTTGAGAAAACATCAGTGTGAATA